GGCTCAGGGAGCTGTGCGGGGCTCAGGGAGCTGTGCAGAGCAGTGCGAGCTCAGGAGCTGTGCGGGGCTCAGGAGCTGTGCGGGGCTCAGGAGCTGTGCGGGGCTCAGCAGTGCGGGGCTCAGGGATCTGTGCGGGGCTCAGGACCAGCGCAGGGATCGGGGCGATGCTTCCCGCCACCTCCAAGCTCTGCGCTGCCATCTCCTACCGGCACCTGCGCAACATGACGGGTGAGGGGCCGGGGGGCCGGGCCGGGGACCCCTCTGCACCGAGGGGCTCTAGGGATGCTCTTCTCACTCTGTGACTTTCTGGGTTTCCTGCTTTTCAGTCCCTGTGACTCTTTCTGCCCCCCTGACCTGTTTCTGGGGGTAGCTCTGCGTGACGCCCCTGCTGGCTGAATGTTCTTCTGTCCCGTTTCCTGCGGCCCTTCCTGAGCTGCTCCTTGATATTTTTATGGCTGTTTTCTGCTCCTGGGCTCAGACCAGGAGCAAAGCCCGGGTTTGCTGGGGCAGCTCCTGTGCAGAGCAGAGCAGGGGGCAGGCAGCTCCTCTCTGCGCCTCAGGGACTTCAGTGAAAGGAGCCAAGACTTTTTCAGCGTTTGCCTGTTTAAACTGCAGAACAGAACAGAGCTCATCAAACCCCTGCAGGGGCTGAGTGACACTTTCTCTCCCCAGGTCTGAGAAGACAAGCAGCTGTTGCCATCAGCCAGGAGCTGAGCCGGCTCGCCTGCCGCAGCCCCGGGCCCAGCACCTGGATCCACCAGGTGCGCAGGAGAAGCTCCTTGCTCAGTAAGTAACCAGCAGGCTGGGGGGCCTGGTCCCTCCTGCCAGGTGGGCACTGTTACCTGTCAGGGCTTGGGAGGGTGATGGAGGAAAACCTGCTGTGCATTGGCTGATCAAAGGGAAAGGCAGGCAAGTCGGTGGGAATTGAAGTTACTTCCTCAGCCCCTGGGCACAGCGAAGTGTGTTTGATGTAAATAAAATGTACCTGGCGTTAGGAGGTGTTAGTCACCTGTGCAGTGTTCTTACTCTCCTGCTTTGGTCTCCTCACATGCAGGTTCAAGGCTGGAGGAGAAACCCTTCAGTGAGATGGAAATGTCTTACATCAAGCAAGGGGAGGAAGCCCTGCAGAAATCACTCAGCATCCTCGGGAACCAGGATGGCTGGAAGACAGAGATTATGGTGGTGGGTGCTCTGCCTTGCCCCAGACTGACACGGGCCTCTGGTAAATATCTGTGATGTTAATCCCACTTTCCCCTCTCCAGGGTAACGGGGACAAAGTGCTGAGCAAAGTGCTCCCCGACGTGGGCAAGGTGTTCCGCCTGGAGGTGGTGGTGGACCAGCCCCTGGATGCAGTGTATGCTGAGCTGGTGGACAACATGGAGCAGATGGGAGACTGGAATCCCAACGTCCAAGAGGTTAAGGTAGGACACACACATCTGACCTGTCCCAGACAGAGGCTCACACACACGGTGTTGGAAGGTAGGACACACACATCTGACCTGTCCCAGACAGGGGCTCACACACACGGTGCCAAAGAATCACTTTGCCCCTCCCTGGAGGTGTTCAAGGGCAGGTTGGATGAGCCTGGTCTGGTGGGAGGTGTTCCTGCTGGTGGCAGGGAGGTTGGAACCTGGTGATCTTTAATGTCCCTTCCAACCTTCACCATTCTAAGATTCTATGACCATCACAGTGGTGATGTCACCACATAGAGACATAGAGAGCAGGGATTTCTCCACCCATTCTTTGGGAGTGGAGGAGCTGGACTTTATCTTGTCCACTTTGTACTTCAGGCACAGTTTGCAGCAGCTTGTCTGCTACTCTGTTGGAAATGCACTTCCCTGCAAGGTAGCAGGTCAGTTCTGTTGTTAAATTTGTGCTGTACCTGGGGGGAATAGTGCAGTGAAGAGCACTTTGCTGTTCCACAGCTTGTCTGGAGTAAGAGAAGCATTAAGAGAAACACCTTCTCTTGCCAGGTATTGAAAACCAACGTTCTGCATTGTGGGATGAAGCAGATAATTGTAGTTTTTCCCACTACAAACACCAAGGTTTTGTTAGGGGATGTATCAGAACGTGGTGAGCAGCTGTTGCTTTTAGCTGCCTTTGCAGTAAATGCTTCAAATGAATGTTTTAATTCTCAACTGTCCAGATTCTCCAGAAGATTGGGAAGGATACAGTCATCACCCACGAGAAGGCAGCTGCTCCCCCTGGGAACATCGTTGGACCCCGGGACTTTGTGAGCGTCCGGTGCTCCAAGAGACGCGGCTCCACCTGCGTCCTGGCCGGCATGGCCACCAAGTTTGGAGCCATGCCCGAGCAGGAGGGCTTCGTCAGGTACAGCCCCTTGTGCTTTCCCTCTCAGGGTGTGTGGGGAGCAGGGAGGTTTGTCTCAGGCACTAAGGACACGCTGCTCTCTAACACGTGTCCCCTCTTGGTGGCAGAGCTGAGAACGGTCCCACCTGCATGATCCTGCGCCCGCTGTCCGGCAGCCCCTCACAGACCAAGCTCACCTGGCTCCTCAGCATTGACCTGAAGGTAAGGGTTTTTTGCAGGAAACATTTCCAGGCAGAAGCAGGAGTTAGATTTGGGAGCAAGTTCCACTCACGGGCCATTGTCTGCTCCTCTCCAGGGCTGGCTGCCAAAGACCATCATCAACCAGGTCCTCTCCCAGACACAGGTCGACTTTGCCAACCACCTCCGGGAGCGCCTCGCCCGGACCTGCTGATGGCAGGACAGTCTAGTAGTGCTTGGTGCAGGGAATCTTGTGCTGGGGTAAGTCAGCCCCAGCCTGGGCTCACCAGCCAGGGCTTTTCACTAGTAGACACCACTAATTAATAAAGCTTTATTAATTGGAATTAATTAGTGGCCAGGCTATGTTCAGTGGGGCAAACACAGGACTGAATATTTGAGGTTGTCCTGTGCCTGCCCTACTGAGCATGTGCACCACCTGTAACCAGGCAGTGTCAATAAATTAATAAAGCTTTGTTATTCATGGAGACTAATTCCCCAGGGAGGTTGCAGGGCCCACACATGCTCCAAAGTTTCGAGGTTGAAGTCCTGCATTTGACCCACTGAGCATGTGCAGGCCCTGCCAAGCACCTGCAGCCTCCCTAGCTAATTAGTTCCAATGATTAAATAATAAAGCTTTATGAATTAGTGATGTCTACCAGTAAAGGCCTGGCTAATTAGCTAACAGGGAAGGCCCAGCCCCCTGCCTGGAATGATCAGCACATGCTCAGGGGGTCAAATGCAAGACTTTTAAAATTTGGATCCCTGTGTTTGCACAATGAGCATGTGTTGTTCCAGTGATTAAATAGTAAAGCTTTGTTATTAATGGTGTTGTGCTAGTGACTAGGCCTGGCTAATTAGTTACTAGTACACCACCAATCAATAATAAAGCTTTACAGGCTACAGGTGCTTGGTAGAGCCTGCACATGCTCAGTAGGTGAAATGCAGGACTTGGAACCTCAAAATTTTTAGCCCTCCCCTAGTGAAGCAGCTTTAATTTATTGTTCTTGTAGAGAGACAGAATCAGATTATTTATTCATTCAGAGTTCTGCAGTGATCAGCATTGGCAAGAGCTCAGTGAAGTGTGGCTACTTGTGATGAATGAAGTCTGAGTCCAAAGACATCCAAGAGTTAAAGCCTTTATTTTTAAACTGGTTTCCAGTTTGTTGGGAAATAAAAAATAAAATACAGTTGGGCTGCTGTCCAAGTCTCACATGCAGAGTCTTGTTACATCCCAGATGGAAGCTGTTGGATACAGTTGAGAAGTGTCAGTGTTGCTGCTGAACATGTACAGGCAGCAGGAGCTCCACCTGCTCCCACTGAACAAATGACTGTGACAGCACATGGGACATGAGCTCAACACAACACCTGCTGCTTCAGCTCTCTACACTGTAAGAGCTCCTGCAGGCTCCACGAGATGCCCACAGCACAAGACAGACTAAACTGCACTCCCATGACTCCAGCAGAGTGGGACTCTTCAGCAGGTACCAAATGTACAAACACCTGCACTGGCTCCAGCTTGTTCACTCGTGGGCTGATGGCTCTGAGGGAAGGGTGTTTCCTCTGGAATAAAAACTCTGGACTGGCTACCCACAGTGTCAGTGTTGTTATGGCTCCCAGGGTGGGCTCCTCCTTCCATCCACTTCTGTCTCCACGTGGTACAGGACATCTGCCAAGGTGTGCTCCACCACAGCCCCCCAGCCCATGTCACTCATCTGCACAGGAGTGAGAGGCAGTTAGTGACAAAGCACAGGACACAGGGGGTCTGGCCCTGCTGTGCACACCAGTGCTCCAGAATTGGCTTCCCTCTTGAAAACACTATTGGGGGGGGGGGGGGGGGGGGGAGGGGAAAAACATTTAAAAAAAAAACCAAGAGGTTTTTGAAACCAGCTCTAAGAGGCCAACACAAGGAGTTTATGATCTGTTAGGAGGAACAAGGCAGCATCTACTTAAACATTTCAAAACCCAAGAACTCAGCCCTCTTAGTGTAAGAGGCCAACACAGGGAGATTACAAACAGTAGATGCTGCCATGGCCCTTTTATTTGTTAGGCTATCTGTCCTGAAATATCTTATTGTATCTTATTTACACAATCTAAAGACAAAGTTTTTAACTCCCACCACCTTTTGTTTAACTACTGTGAGGCTGTCACAAAGTGTGGGGTTAAAAAGCTGCTGTTGACTCACCGGGTGGTAGGTGATGTCTCTAGGTGGATACTTGAAGTATGGCCCAAAGTTTATAGAAACCTGTGGAAGACACATTTGTTGTCAGAGCCAAAGAGCCAGGCACATTCCTGTAGTTTTGCCCTCATCTCCTCCCACTCCTGAGCCTGCCTGAGCCTTGTGCAAGACCACAGGAACAAACATCCTGGGCATAAGTGTTTGTTCAGCAGTTTGATAAAGCTCTATCACACCCGTGAGCACCAACATCATTCCAGAGTCACTTTGCTGAAACAATTCCCACCTTTCCTCCTCACTTGAGTTGTTCCCTTAGTGCCCACACTCTGTGCATTACTAAAACCATTACAGACTTTGAGAGATAAATGCCTAAGATCTGTTACTCACTGTGCAGCCTTTGTACAAGGAGATGGCAGGAAAATAAACTCCTTCAAAGATGTCTTTAAAGGCAATTCCTTGGCTGACTCCATTCTTGAAGAATATTATCTGAAAAGAAAAATGAAGAGTTTGTGGTTTTTTTCTTCCATTACTGCTAACTTTAGTGACTTACTTGTGAGTTACACAGAAATCCTCAGGGAGCTTCACCTTCCCTCCCCTTTGCCTGACACCAGACAATTAACTACTTAAGTGACAGCAATAACATGACAAGCAAAAGGCACAGCTGGTTTGCTAAGGTCACTTTTGGTTTTGCTTTAATAAAAGCATTCTAGATTTTGATGAAGAACTAACACTCAGCCTCCCTTTGTGCTCATTAAATGCAAGCAACTAATACCCCCAATAAGCCAGGCTCTCCACTCATCCTGAGGTTCTGCATCCAATGCTTAACTTACCTGGCTTCCAGGTGCTTGCTTCAGGCTCTTCTCTGCTTTGTCCACAAAGTCCTTCTCTTCAAAGTACAAGTAGCTTTTGAATTTGATCAAAGCCTGAAATAATAGAAAACAAAACAGTTCAGAAGCAAGCCAGACAAACTGTTACCTTTGGTGACATATTCAGGAGCAGCAGAGCTACAGGTGCCTTGCTCTGGGATAGGTGTTGCCTGTGAAATGATTCACACATCTCAAATATTTGAGATCCAGGAGGGGAAGAGGAAAGGAGATGTGGGCACTCAGCAGTCCAGGCACAGTCTTTGAACCTCTCTGCTACAAACCATGGCAGCACCCAGAGGTTGGAGGGAAAGGCCACGCTCCGAGGGGGCACAAGTGAGGCCAGAGCAACCTGTTTGCCACCCTCCATCACTTAATCCAGCAGTGAAGTCCTCACCTTGTCTTTGTACGTGTCTGGCAGTGATTTGGCAGTCTCAGTATCTTCTGGCAGGCTGATGTAAAACCCCAGAACATCCCCCTGTCCATAGCCAGATGAATAGTGCTTCCCTATGGACTGGTGAAACCTGGTTCCCTTTTTGCTGCGCCAGGAGTAGCTGAACTTGTCATATCCCAGAGGAGCCTGGAGGTTCCCTGCAGAAACCAACATTTCTTGGTGAACACAGAGTGGAGCAGGAGCACCCGTGGGTCCTGCTCTGAGGTCTGGCACAGGAATTACCTCCCCTTAACCAAATAACTGACTGCCTGGAGTACAAATGTGCTGCCCACGGGGTTAAGATGCAGGAGCACAGAGTCCACCTGCACTGCAGGTCTGCACAGCTCAGGTCACCTGCAGAAAGTTCCCCCCTAAGAAAACCAGCGAGGAAGTGTGAGCACACTGAGCACAACTACCCTCCTTAGTCTAAACTACTGGGGAAAGAATTACAGGAACCAGTTGGAATGCACTGCTAAGAAATATTTGGTGAAGTTACTGACCTAGGGGCTGTGACCAGCCCAGCCTGGCAGCTGTGTCTGGGGGCATCTCATCCATGGATATCTCGAAGTACCAGGCTCCCTTCCGCACGCCGTGCGAGGCTCGGACCATGGAGTAGCCCTTCTCGCCCACGACAGTCAGTCTGTCATCAGAGATCTTCAGCTGGGGAGCTGTGGTACAGAGAGGAGAGATGAGCTGTGATGAGGAGAGATGAGCTGTGGTGAGGAGAGATGAGCTGTGGTGAGGAGAGGAGACAACAGGAGCAGCTCATTTGTGATTCCTGACACGCGGCGATGTCAAAACGCAGGTGACCACACAGACCTGGATTTTACATTCTCTTCAAAAAATATGTCTGAAATTCTTGAGTGTGAGGGTGGTGAGACCCTGGCCCAGGCTGCCCAGAGAAGCTGTGGCTGGAACAGCCACATCCCTGGAAGTGTTCAAGGGCAGGTTAGATGGGGCTTGGAGCAACCTGGTGGGAGATGTTTTTGCCCATGCAGGGTGGGGCGGAACTAGATAACCTTTAGGGCCCCTTCCAACCCAAACCATTCCATGGTCCTATGATAATCTGAAACCTCCATAAGCAGTAGGGTGAGGTTCCAAAGGATGGCCTCTCCTACAAGGAGCTGGCTACACAAGTGGCACAGGAATGTCTCGCTCTGTACCTCGGTCGTGCAGCGCCAGGAGGACTCGTTCGTAGAGGCAGGCCCTGTAGAGGTCCCCAGGAATGGGCTTCCCTGCCCAGCAGTCCAGCTCCAGCTTCTCAGGGTCGGGTGCATGGGGGTCAGGCTCAGCCAGGATGTACCTGTACCCATCCTTGTTGAAGGGATGCTCCAGGGGGTAGCCGTGAGGGGGCAGGCGCTGAGCCGAGAACAGCGGGTCGCTGGGAAACAACAGCTACAGGTTGACACCTGGTGGTGCTACAGCCTGGTCACAGAACCAGCCAGGACAACCCTTCCCAGTGCTCATGGCCTCCAAGAGTCAGGGCAAAATGAGTGTTAACGCCTCTATTTCAATTAATTTACAGCATGTGAGTACCAAGAATGTCACAGGGTAATTATTACATGTAATGTCTTTACACCTGAAGTCACAATTTGCATCAACCAGAGCACCACAGGGGAGAACATCCTCTGCACCAAAGCATGAGGCTCTCAATAGCAATCTGAGGGAATAAAAAGCAACCAAACCACTGCCCATTAAAGAGACAGAAACTACTCAGAGGCTGAAGGAGACCCGAGAGTATCTAATCCCAGTGACAAACACACACAGCGGGGCCCAAAAATCTGTAACATTGGTGTAAACGTTACGTATTGTAAACTGTAATTTTTTTTTCATCTCTCTCTGGCAAGAGGCAGCTTAAGCTGTGCCCACACTGGTGTCCAGCACCTCGCTGTGGAGGCTGGTCACTGCCCACCACATCCCCTCCCCTCCCCTCTCACCTCCTGGTTTTCTTGGCTGCTCCCGTGGTCCCTCCGTCCTGCTGCTTGCGCTTGGCCCCCCGGCCCTTCCCGCTGCCTCCCGCAGCCATTCCCCCTGGACACAGACACAGGCAGGCTCAGCACCACGGCAGGACCCCCAGGGACAGCCCCTGAGCATGGCACCCCCACTGGCAGGGGCAGCCAAGCTGAAACCAGTGAGCTCAAGTACCTCCTTCCACAGCTTACATGAACTTATTGAAAATAAGCAAAATGTGGCTTCTGGTCAACGTTCCGAGTGTCTAAATTTAGAGTGGAAGCTGAGTGAGATTTATCAGCAAAATGAGCTCAGCTCCAGCTTTTCAGGGGAGAATTAGATCTCCAAAGAGCAGCACTGCTTTGAAAGCACAGCACTGGCTTTCCTGGAGGATCCACTCACCCTCTGGATTTACTTCTGCAGATGCAGCAGAAAATCCAGCCCAGAGCACCTGGATGCAACAGTCACCACCCCAGGGACACCCTGGGCTGGAGAAACACTCCCACAACAACAAGCAGTAAGCACTGAACATTGAACTTCCATCTATAAAACAAGATACACCCAGGTCGAGGGAAAAATGAAGAGCAAGAGGTGTTTCTCTGCAGTGCTCCCACAGTCAGGGCTGAGCAGCACATCATCCCACACTTCACTGCTCAGGTTTTCCTCACACATAAAACTGTGCTACAGGAAAAGCTGCAGGGGAAATCTAATCAAACTCATGTCAACTATAATGTTTGGACACATTAAATTGTACAGGGAATTTATCACTGCACCATTTCAAAGAGATCACTGCTGATTTACAAGGAGAACTGGAATTTTGAGGTACTGTAGACAAACACCTTTACACACTGTGCTGTAACTAAAGACACAGTCAGCTTTTCAATGATCAGCATTGCCCTGAGGGTGCAAGGGACTCAAAAATACCACATTCTGCACAAACATGAGGTGATCTCAGCTGCACTTGCTGGTTTCAGTGAAGGGAAACGTTTGGTCTCTCCAGTTTGTCAACAGGTATTTGCCCAAACAACCACAATTATGATACCAGCTCAGGGGTCCAGAGCTCTGGTTTAGGCATTAAGGTTTAAAGCCACAACAACATCAGGTCAAATCATACAAAGTGAAAACAAACATAAGTTTTTAAACAGAACCAGTCAAGTGGAGCAGAGTATGATCATTAAAAGCTTCTAACTGCTAAAGATTAAGAAGTGAAATTGTTGCTTTGTATTAAATTATTACTGCAATCACATCAGGGCACAGCTTTTGATTTGTAATCGACTGTGGCTTCTAAGGTAATTGAGCAAAAAAGCTTTGCAAACAAGACTACTTAAGTTTTAGAAGCTGAAAGGTAAATATTCACCTCCCAAAGAGGCTCCACCTGTAAGAACAGAAGTGGCACCACATCTGTCAGTCTCCCAGAAATGAAATGAAAAAACAACTCGTGCATGAAATGGAAACAATTCAGCCTCACAGATCTATAACCTTGTTTCAAACAGCCCCAAACTCCTCCCGTGAGATACTCTCTGAATGTGATCTCAGCCAGCCAGGCAAAGCTGCCAGCAGAGCTGCAATTCCACAAAAAGGGACAACAACCAAGTGCAGGCAGTGACTGTAAGGAATGACACAGACTCTCCCCAACTACTTTCAAATGTCTGAGTGAGGGAAAACAGGACAACTGAAGAACACAAAGATGCAAATTAAAATCCTGCTGGAAGAAAACCGACCAGCTCAGCTTTCTTGCAGGCATCTTGGTTCATCTGGCTGACCCTTCACAAGGAGGCACAACCCATCTCCCTCCACAGAAAGGCAGGATGAGACTGGCTGAAGGTCTTCTGAACATCCCAAGCACGACCTCAGTTCCCAGGACAGGTTTAACTGCAGCACCTCAAGGGGCTGCACAGACACCTGGCCACAGGACTGGAGAACACAACTGAGCCCCAAAACCCACCCCCTAAAGCACTTGCCGTTCAAGCTGCCGCTGGTGGCCACGGCGCTGCTCTGCTTCTGGTTGTCGTAGGCGGGGCCGATGTTGGCAAGATCCTGAAAGGGGCAGAGAAAAGAATGTTCAGGCCTGGCCACACCCACCACCCAAACCTGAGCCCTGCCCCGGGCTGGGGGCCTCCAGCACGTGGTTGAGCTCCACACGGGCTGCGTTTTGCTCCTCTGACTGAGCCAGAGGCAAACACAGCCCCCAAGACACACTCTGCTTCCATCTCTAACTACCTACTTGGTCTACAAGTCCAAACTTGGGGTAATCTTCTTCTGGGTCTTTACTCCCTGGGTCTGGGTGCTCTTTCACCAAGAAGACATCTCTTTCTTTACACTAGAACAGAGGAGGAGTTTGGCACACGGGGTTAGATCACAGCAAGTGCATCAACAAGTGTTTAAATCACCATATTTACTATTAATGAGTGGCCTGTGTATCAACTACAGAAGAAGCACCAAAATCCTCACCATTTGGCTCTAAGTCTAGACCTCACCCAACTGCACCATCCATAGAAAACTCCCAACCCATCCACCTCCAAACACTTACCATAGTTTTGACAATATTGTTGGGCCAAGTCATTTTCCCAGGTCTCTGTCGTGTTGTCATACACTCCCAGTATTTGTCAATAAATGGAATAATATCCTGTTAAAGAAATAAAATTGAGTCTTGCCAGCGTGGGTCTGGAAGCCTGGCTGCCAGTGTTTGTTTGAAGTTGAAACACTGAAAAACACTCCCCACTGAAATCACAGTTTACAGAAACCCCTGATGACTTTCCCAACAGCCTGACCTTATCTTTTGAGAACATGGTTTTTGGGTGCTCATCTTGTGTCCTCGACTGCCACGTCAGGTTGGCCAGAGCACTAAGGCACATTTCCTTCAGATCTTAACAATAAAAACACACCAGAGCTGGAGTTACACTTCCTGGGGAAGAACAAACATGGACCCCCCAGCACCCACCCCACCTTGGGTACCAGCAAACCCCTCTCAACTTCTGCCCTAACCCAGCAGCTCTCTCTACACACAAGATTCTCATCATCTCAGTGAATCAGTAGTAAAACACTTTAAGGACAAGCCACACATGCTTACTGCTAATATGGAATTTCTGGGGTCAGTTTTCAGCAGAACCCTCCCACCAGCTGCAGGGAAAATGAAGCCTCTGGAATGTTCTTGCACAAAACCTCAACCAGTCTGCTTGTGTACTTACTTGCTTGTTTTCTTAAGAAATAGGTGTTCCCACTGTGATGGCAAACATTGCAATGGAAACTGTAGTTGGTCATGAAGGGCAGACATGACCTGGAACAGAGCACTGGTCAGTTCTGCTGTACACCTCCCCTCCTGCCTCAGGTGAAGAGATTATTCTTCACTACATCAGGTTAAGAAACCAGTGATTCCCAGTTTCCTGCCCAGCACTGGGCAGAGCTCACGCACGTGGTGTCGATGCCGAAGGTGTCGGCCGTGAACCACTTGGTGCAGATCCCGCACTGCAGCTCGATCTCTCCCAGCTGCCTCCCATTCTCCTCATCCACAGAGCCTGCCTGGGCATCCACGGCCTCCGAGTTGTCCCCAGCAGCCTCCTACAACCAGAGCAGATCAGCAGACTGGGCCTGGCTTAAAGCCTGAACCACACAGGAAAGAAGTTTTGTGCAATAAACCTGTCGAGAGGGGAATTGAGAGCTGGGCACAGCTGAGCTGCAACGGGGTTCTAGACATAGGGAGTCAGAACTAGCCAGGTGGGTGAGAAACTCATTTCCAAAATAATTCCTCCAGTAAAAGTGGAGCTGGCAGGATGGAAAATCTTTCTTGTCTGGAGCATGTTCACACTTTTGTTTTTGAATCACGCCCTTCTCACCATCTGTGTCTTTGTCTTACACCTGACTTTGTAACCCTGGCAAACTGAGGATGGTTATTAGCCCAAACTCATCAGGCACTGCCAGGTGCCTGTTTGTTAAATAGAAGCATTTTAGCCTCTTAAAAAACAAAACAAAATGGCATCTAGCCTGGCCCCTTCTTCTGCACAACATACAAAGAGTTGCTGCCTTACATCCCTGCACCTGCCCTGTGCCAAGACACGAGGCTGCTACCAAATGAGAATCCCTTGGGAAAACGTGCTGGTGGTGAGGGTTAAAAAACCCAACCAAACAGGAGAAAGGAGAGAGCCAGCAGCCTGTGGTGACCAGCATCCCGAGGACAATCCTCAGCCTGGGGTGACCCACAGGAGGGAAGGGCAGTTTCCCAGCTGTGCCACGGGGACACAACACCCTGGCAGCACCTCCCCCAGCCCCCCTCGTGTCCTCTACCTGTCCCAGCTCCACAGAACTCAGCCCCACGGCCTGGCCCTCTCCCAGGGGGCCCCAGCTGCCCCCAGCCACCTACCAGGGGGTCCTTCCCGTGGGCAGCCTCTGTCTCCAGAGCTGTGCTGACATCAGCCAGGGCAGCGTCCCCCCTGCGGGAGCAGAAATCAGGTCCTGAGAGGGGCCCCACGTTGGCCCTGGGGTCCCTCCCATCAGGAAAGGCTGAGACCTGGGGCTGCTCAGCCTGGAGAAGACTGAGAGGGACCTTATCAATGCTTACAAATATCTAACAGGTGGTGTCAGGAGGATGGGGCCAGGCTCTTTTCAGTGGTGCCCAGCGACAGGGTGAGGGGCAACGGGCACAAACTGGAACACAGGAAGTTTCATCTTAACACATGGAAAAACTTTTGTTTGAGGGTGAAAAGAGCACGGGGACAGGCTGCTCAGAGTGGCTGTGGCCTCTGCTGCTCTGGAAATATTAAAAAAAAAAACAACATCTGGACACAATCCTGTTCAACCTGCTCTAGGTGAATCTGCTTGAGCAGGGGACTGGACTGAGGAGCTCCAAGAGGTCCCTTCCAACCCCACCATTCTGGGATCCTGCTGAGGAAAGGCTGAGGGAGCTGGGTCTGTTGGGCTTGGAACAGAGGAGACTGAGGGGCCACCTCATCCATGGGCACAAATCTGTTCAGGGCAGTGTCAGGAGGGCAGAGCCAGGCTCTGTGCAGTGACGCCAGGCTGCCCAGAGAGGCTGTGGAGTCTCCACTGGAGACATTCAAACCCCCCTGGATCCTGTGATGTGCTCTGGGTGCCCCTGCTCTGGCAGGGGGGTTGGGCTGGGGGATCTTTCCAGCTCCCTCCCAACCCCCAGGATCCTGCGATCCCCTCAGCGTTCCCAGGGGAAGGGCCCCCCCCAACCCCCCGTTCCCAGGGCCGGGGCGCGACGGGGCCTGGGTAGGGAGGGTGGATGAGAAGGAGAAA